TTGCCAGCTTTTACCGTGAGGAAGCAGCCAAAAGGACTCACTACCGGCTGGAACCAGAGTGGACTCTTCCGGAATCTGTATGCCTGGTCAAAGTTGAACAAACTAAGCAAGTTACTACTACTCCGAATGAAGACACTCCCTCATCACCTGACACTGTAGTCACAGATAGTGATGAGATCGAACCAGTAGACACGGAAATACTCGAAATTGGCACATCACCATTGAGTTCTATCGGTTCAGTTGAAAGTCCTGAAAACAGTCCTGGACCAGATCCTATCCAAGTAATATTGTCAGAAGTTCTCCGAAGAAATCAAGGATCATACCAAGGGTTTAAGAAAGATGTTATCACCCTGAGCAAATTTACCAAGGTTTTTGGTGAGATCTCGAATACCAAACTCAAGAAATTGATATATCAGGAAAAGTTCAAGCAAGTCAAGAATCTGAAGAAACAATAACCATTTTACCAAGAGCAATCATTCATTACACTGATGCCAAAATTTTAAGTTTTTATTTTAATTTTTTTTTCTCTCTTTTCCCAAATCTTCAAAAATCAACAACTCAAAAAAAAAAAATAAAATAAAAAAGGGGACAATGTAATGAGACAAAACGGAGTGCCCATTTATGTGGCGCACTCTAGCGGTCTTCATTACATCCTCTCACAACAAGCGTCGCCGCCCAAAAAACGAGTGCATCCACTGTGTGCAACGGACAAACGGCGCAACAGATAGCGCTGGCCGGCCACATAGTACAACAGCCCTTGGCCGCCCATCGGAAAACATGAGTTTTCTCAGCAACTAAAAGAAAAATCAAATCGCTGATTCCAGATTCGGAATCGTCAGCATTTCAACTATCATATTATTACTACCGACAAGTTCAAACAAGCACCTAAAAAACTCCACTAGCAAAAAAGAAACAGAGTCATGTAACCGGGACCAGTGTTCCGCATACTACACAAATACAAGCCGATGAGAGACCGTAGAGTCACCTTCTCCCCGCTGAGTGCAAGGCAATAGCGAGCCGCACGAGTTTTACCACTCGTGACTACGGACGCTATTCAGCTTGCACATATAACAGTGATTGGTCCAAGAGACTGCACAAGCCGCACCAGTTCTTCAACTAGTGATTAACGGATGTGTATATAGTCTTGCCCGACACTCCCGTATCCGCGCACTGTCGAACGCCGAGCCGTTGTCGCCGCCGTACGATCCGTTGTCGCCGCCGTCTATCGTGAACGCCGAGCCGTTCCTGCCGCCGTCCGACCAGTTTGTTTTTCATCGTAAACGCCGAGCCGTTGCCGCCGCCGTCCGATCAGTTTGTTTATTATTGTGAACGCCGAGCCGTTGCCGCCGCCGTCCGATTTTATGTTGTCATTATTTCAACGTCAAGCCATTGTTTACATAGTAAGTTGTATCGGATTACAACTTATCGCACGCTGAGCCATCACTACTGTCCCTGCGTCTACCTGCACGAGTCAACCACGCCAACACCACCGGCAACTACCGTCTGTTGTATCAGACGGGGAGGGTTGAACAACAGGACACTGCTGACATTCACCCACAATCCACATCTGTACTGACCTCATCACTGACGGAGAGTCCAAAAACCGTGAGTTATATGTACACATACCCACCCATTATATGTATCCCCAAGATAAATATTTTAAATGTACACTCGAAAGAGTATAAACTAATTGAAAAGAAATATTGTACCACGAATGATATAAAATCTATGTACAAAATAATTAAGTATGAAAATAAACGCACGATAATTACCATAAACCAAACAGCGTTGAAAATTCATTACAATTTTTACGAACCTTTGAAGTTAGACATTGGATTTTGGACATTGGACATTCTCAAATTACAAAAATAAATAGACACTAATTTTTTTTTTTAAGAATTTAAAGTTCAGATCTTGACAAAATGTATTTTTAATGTACCTACTTATAGGTTTCGAAAAAAAAAATTGTAATAAATGTATGATAGTGAATAGTGATAGCATAGTATGTGCTATTGCAGTGCTATATTATACCATAGTTCGTATCAAATACTATACTTTTTGTTTGCATTTGTATATAATTTATATTTAAATAATTTGTTAGAAAAATAACAAATACCAATTAGCAAGGTAAGTACTATAAGTAGGTGTATTAAATTAATTTTGATATAGGTAGGTTAATGTTAATATATTATGGAGATGTAAAATGCCATTAGCATGTTGTGTCGTATATGTACTGTACATCGAAATGTAAATCAAATCCCTAAACATTTATTTGGCTTTTTGACTTTTTTCCCCGGACTTTTAGGTAAAATACTGTTATAGCAAAATGAAATAATAAAAATCTGACACGTTTAACTAGCAGCACTCGGCAGATAATGGAACTACGCCGTAACGAGTTGTGACCGGGCAGTCGTGTACAAATCGTACTGCCGATGACTAACATGTTCTTTATAATCGTGTTCTAAAGTACAATTTTATATTATTTTATATCTATGATAGTATCAGGGTTTTTGTTGATGTATAACGCGTTATAAGTGCCTAATGGATATTGTGATATGATTAATTTGGAATTTATTATAGGTACCTATTATAGGTCAATTTTTTTTAATATCATAGATAAGTATATAATATGTCTTATACCTACAACAGGGACAGACTGACATATCGTCTCCGCTCAGAATCGTTTTTCTTACACAATGATATTATATCATTGAATTCAAATTTAATACTATCCATTATACAGTTACCCACTTGTAACCTACTGTACAGCAGTGCAATTTTTTTTTTATTTTGCATTATCATACGCTTTTGAGCTTTTTTATGAGTTTCTTAAGAACGGTTTTTTTGTATACTTAACTTTTGTGACCTCGTGCACCGTAAATCACAATATACTATGTTATATTATGTCAAAATAAAAATAACATTTTTTTTTACAAATTTAATGATGAAAACAGCAGCACTGCACGTCTCTTCGAGTAATAAATGCAAACGAGTTTACAGAATAGGAAATTTATAATTGATGACCTCGGGCTCGTACATTGCAGTGGTTTGTCACACCTGTAGCAGTTATATAATAATTTACTAAATTAACACTGAACAATCAAACAGCGTTTTATTAACTCAAACCTCTATTAATATTTTGTTTAAATACATTAACTTTTAGGTACAAACTACCTATTACCCACAATACCTAATTGTATATTTTCATACTGTCACTTGGACTTACGGATGCAACATACGCTTAGCCCGACGTATGCCAGAGGGATCAGGGCTGTACCTGGCGGTAGGTAAAACGCAGGGAAGGACACCCGCAAACCATATGATGGAAGTGATTAAAACTAACAGTACCCCAAGTGATAATCCGGCTTGTCCGGCAAATTCACCTCCTGCGGGAGCATTGGCCCATGGATTTTGGGGGGGCCAAATCACTCTTCATCACCGGTCGGAGCTGAGCGGCCCGACTGACGTGTCTTCGGACAAAAACCACTCTGACGTGCCTACGGGTTATTTGACAAAAAATGTATATGACGGAAACTTGACGATTATTGACAACGCTGGGTACGTACTTTCAGCAAAAAGCACGTTGCGCCTCAAAGGTGGCGGGGGTAGTGAGGATGGCCTCGAAACTAGTAGCGCAGGATTCTCAACGCCAATGTTTCAGGACAACACCGCCTCTAGAAAAGTTAAGAGGAAGAAACTTGGCGAAGATTATAGCCCTGACCCTGTCTCTCCTTGTAAGCACGCTTTGGACTTGGAGAAATATTCTGATGAGGTCAGTGACAACATAAATGATACTAAGGCTATGTTAGAAGACATGATAAAAGAATCCAAAATAGGCAGGCGCTGGATCGAAGCCATCCTACACCAACTCGACGAAATCCTTATTAGCAACAACCGCATGGCCAGGGCCAGCTATAGGGTGCTAGGCAAGTGCGAAGAACAACGGGACGTACTCCGTGCTTTACAGGAGCACGTGGGAGACCTTAATAACGATATGGGGGCTCTGAAAGAACGGTACAACCAGTCTCAGGTAGAAAAAGAAAGGGCCTTGGCGGAGCTAAATAACCGTCAATCTGTTAGATATGTCCCAGAGCCGTCAGTCTCGTCGCTCGGACCACTCCCTCCGCCCATAGAATACATCGATTTAGATGATGACACCATAATGGTAGTAAGCCCATCCGGTCTATCCTATGCTGCTGCTGCAGCCAGACCGACAATGTCGCCTTCTCACTCTAGGAAGAAGAGGAAAAAACCGGATGATTTCCCTGTGCTAAAAACACCATTAGCGCCACTAGCGCCAAGAAAAAGGGCAAAGGATAGGCTGGGTACCATAAAACCCCCCAAGAAGTCCGCGAAGCGTTTAGCGACGATAAAAGCCAGGGACAGATCCGCCAGGACAGGCCCAAGATTCGAGGTCACAACGGGTGTCGAGGGATGGCAGGACCTTCGGAATTCAATTGAACAGAAACTGCCCAACCCTAAGGTCAGAATGACAAAGTCCAAGAACGGCGGCTTGGTTCTTTTCCCTGAGGACGAGGTTACCGCGGCTGCTCTGCGCCGCACTACCAAATTGGTCGAGAGGGGCCCTCGGAGGCCAAGGGTCATCATTAAATTTGTAGACAGACTCCTAGAAAAAGACCTGATCCCGTGGGCGCTACGCAAGAATGAGTCTCTTGATATCAGCGAACATGAGCAAAGCAGCATAAAACCGCTATTCATGCTAGGTCCACGAGACGGACATGCGGTGCATTGGGTTGTTGAGGTCGCCCCAGAAACTCTGCCGAAGGTCGAAGGCAAATCGGCTTATCTGGGTTTGACCAAATGCAAAATTAAGTTCTTCGACTCAGTAACACAATGTTTTAACTGCCAAGGATTTGGCCACACGGCCCAAAAATGTAGGGAAGAGCAACCCAGATGCAGGAAATGCTCGGGGCGACACGACTCACGGTCTTGCACGGCGCAAACGGTGAAGTGCCCTAACTGTCGAAGTGGGAACCACAATGCGGCGTCAGCTAACTGTCCGGCGAGAACAGCCGCCATCAGACGACTTACCCGTCAAACAGATTTTGGGACGACTGACCGTACACCAAATGACAGCTGAGATTAGAATAATCCAGCACAATCTCAACAGGGACCGCACGGCCAGCCACCAGCTACATGAGCTGTGTGTCGAACAGAAGATTGACTTTGTACTTGTTCAAGAACCGCTCATAATGAACAACAACTCGATATATGCGTTTGAAACCTGTAGGCGGGCGCATATCAGTCGTGACGCCGGTGCGGCCGTAATAGTCCTGACCAACCGTTATCAGAGTATCCTCTTGGGGGCTTACTCGTCAAGCCACACTGTAGCGATCAGAGTCAGGTTTGGTCCTAGACAGTTGGACGATGTTATACTGGTATCGTCCTACTTTAAGTACAACACCCCTACCATTCTCCACATAGAGCGTTTAAGCCAGATCATGGAAAAAGAGAAACGTATCCTCATCGGGGTGGACACGAACGGTCACTCGAAACTCTGGTTTTCGGAAACCCGGAACCGCCGCGGTAGAACCGTTGATGAGTTCATACATAAATATGGTCTTAGGGTTCATAACATAGCGGGGCAAATGAACACCTTTCGCCGCCGTGATAACAGGACGTCCAACATAGACGTTACGCTTACGACGGCTGACATCGGACATAAAGTCAGGAATTGGCTGGTCAGTGATGAAACTGACAGTGATCATAGGGTTATCAGTTATAACCTACTCGTCCGTAAACCGCCCCCGAGAATCCCGGGGCCAGTGCGGTACAACGCTAAGACAGCGGATTGGGATCTATTCAACACTACCCTCCTTGGCGAGGTAGGCCGCATCCCTTGTAACTGCATTAACGCTATGGCTGCGGGCATAACCCTTGCTCTGACTACAGCTGCGGATAAAGCCATGATGAAAAAGAGACTGTCTGGTGGCCTGGGCAAGAACCCATGGTGGTCCCCAGAGTTGGCATCACTAAGAAAAGATCTGGTCCGAAAGAGACGCCAAGGTCTTAACAGACCGGAGTACAACACACTTAGAAACAGTTTCCTGACGGCAATCAGAAAGCACAAAGCCGACACGTGGAAAAACTATGCTAATGAATTGAACACTAACCCTTGGTCCAGAGCCTTCAGCTGGGCCAAGAAAGGCAGTCGACCAAGATCGATCCCGAGCACGCTCACGAAAGAAGACGGCTCTCAAACTGTTGACTGTCTGGACACAGTCGAATTGATTTTGGACAAGTTTGTGCCGAGAGACCCGCAACAAGGCGAACTGGTCTACCAGGGCCCTCTGGAATACACGGAGTCCCTTGATCCGGAGTCTATAAAAGTGGCCATATGGCGAATCAAACCTTCGGGCGCTCCTGGAATGGACGGAATTTCGGCCCGGATGCTCAGGAAGGCTTGGCCCGCGCTCAGAGAACCGATAACGCATCTCTTCGGCCAGTGCGTCAAAGCTGGTCAATTCCCTGATTGTTGGAAAACGGCGGAGCTGGTACTGGTGCCGAAACCTGGCGCAACTGACGCATCTCTGGTCAAGTCGTTCAGACCAATCAGCCTGCTTCCTGTCCTTGGGAAAACACTTGAGACTATAATAATAGGTAAAATTATAAACGAGACCACCTTGGACTCGCACGTAGAACAGCACGGCTTTACAACGGGTAAATCCACCTCCGGTGCTCTGGAAGCAGTCTATGACTGGGTCGACGCGTCCAGTTCGCGGCATATCTTTGGTACCTTCCTAGATATCACGGGCGCGTTTGACAATGTGAAATGGTCTCCTCTCCTATCTCAGCTCATTCACCTAGGGGCCTCACTTGGGACAGTCAGAATTGTACAGTCATACTTGACGAACAGATGGGCCAACTTCCACATGGAAGGGGTGTGGTACAGGCGCATGCTGGAACGAGGATGCCCTCAAGGGTCCCAGCTTGGACCAACACTCTGGAAGGTCGCAATCACACCAATATATGGCTCAGTTATAAGCCCTGACAGTACGAAGATACTAACGTATGCTGACGACATACTGCTCATGGTAGGGGCGGCCAGACCTAAGACAGCCTTTAACCGAATAGAAAAACAATTGGACAAGTTTACTACATGGGCAACAGAATTCGCTCTTGAGTTCTCCGCGGGGAAAACTCAGCTCCTCTCCCTTAAAGGCGGACTGAAGCCTGGATACAGTATTGCGTTTGGTACCGCAGCCGACGCGCCTAGGATCGAGTCTTCTCCTACGGCCAAATACCTCGGGGTCGTCCTTGACCCAAGACGAAGTTATTGGGACCACGTCTTGTCGGTATGCAAGAAATCGGATGACATGTACAGCCGACTTAGAGCCTTGTATTCGGCAAATTGGGGCATGGGCCAATCTGCCGCCAACACCATATATAAGGGCGTGTTCCTGCCCAGAATTGCGTACGCTGCGGAGATATGGGCAGAGGGATCGAAATTACGCAAAAGCCGGGCGAAACTCCTTAGCGCTCAAAGGAAACCATTGTTGGCGATAACCGGTGCGTACAGAACTGCCTCGACGAATTGCCTGTCAGCAGTTGCAGGAACACTCCCGCTTGACCTGGAGATTAGGCACCAAGCGGCATTGAGAAACCGGGCCCGAGAAAGAATATCGGCCGACGAAATGGAAACGATAACATTCGAGCTGTTAAATGAGTGGCAGGACAGATACACGAGCACAAACAAAGGTAGTTGGACCCAGAAAATGATACCGTCCGTGAGACAGCGGTACCATCTACCTCTGGACCTTGACCACTACACCACTCAGTTCCTCACCGGTCATGGGGACTTTAAAGCCAAACTCTATGGTTTCAAACTGGTAAATGATCCGATCTGTGAATGTGACCGCAAACCGGAGACGGTGAACCACGTCCTCAGGTTTTGCTCTAGAACAGTATCAGCGAGACGCAAATTAAAAACAACTATGAGAGAAGAAGGAGAAGCGTGGCCTCCAGAAAACGGAGCCTTCCTCAAGTCTCGCAGAACATTCCAAGCCCTTAAGTCCTTCGCGAGAGAAGCACTCACGAACAGGATCGACAGATAATCGAATATGGGTGATAGACCCAAAGGGTCAGAACGCTGCCCCGTCCATGACGGAAGGCAAAGTCTCGGGGTGTTCCCGATGAGCACGTAAGGCGTAAGTGGCAGAAACGGGGGAACACGCTCGAGCGCGTTCTGGCCCGGGACGTGCTCATACGTCAGGGACGCGGAGTCCGGCCCTGTTGCGAGGGCCGTACAGAATTTCGCATCAGTATTCCCTGCTTGTCGTACAAGGCGACTAAAAGGGAATTGACCAGTCGGGGTCGGCGCCGGGGGCGCGGACGCACCGAAACCTACGGGGATTAGGGCGTTGGGAGGTTCTGACCGTGACCTCATGAAGAACGGGTCGGTCACTGGGCTTAGCCACCTGGTGACGCCTCTGGGAGGCGGAGTTTTGGGGGCCTACCGTGAGCCCGTGGTACAAGGCCCAAATCTCGGGAGGACCATAAGCTGAGGCTACTTGCCGACGAAGCTTCGTCCGAGCATCCGACCAATGATGTGCCTTACCTTACGGGAGGCGAGAATGGTGCTTCGGGATGTGAGGGGGCCCCTCGGTGTTGAGAGATTAACATCGAGCCCTCACACGTCGGTCGTGGTGGACACTGCCTCGTCCGACGGCGGTTTGGTTTCGAAGTGGCAGTTTGCAGGAGCATACTATGTGGTGATAGGCCTCACGCTTGGCCAGGGGAAGGCTGCCGAGTGACTGGACCGGGCGGACTCGTACGGCGACAGTCGGCCGGGAAAGCACGGCCCTCCTTAGCGCTCACCCAGCTTATCGTTGGAGCTATATGCAGCGAAGGTTGTCCGTGACCAAAAACGGAAAGCAAAGTGGATAGATTGCGGCCTCACCAGGGTGGCGACAGGCACCTGTATGCCCTAGCCGGATGGTACGGGCGCTCCGGGGTAGTCCCCCGTGCGAGTCCGGTGCTCGTGGTCCTTAGACGACGCGCGGCCTGCGGCCGGCGGGTTAAACTGCCGACCGTCGGTCGTGACCCTCCGCGGCTCTTGACTAGCACCCAGTGCTAACATAAGGTCCGCGGTTGTAGCCGTTAGGCATTAAAACCCGGGATCTTGTCACTTGTACTAAGGTATATATGCATTACGCATGGGCATGGGGCATTATGCAATAATGTATATTATGTTCAAACCATATACTTATTAAGAAGAGAACACAATAATAGAGCGGGAGATCCAGTAGAAAACATTGTTAGAAAAAGATAGCATAAAACTTAGGTATACCAATTAATAGGTGAAAATAATACTAAAAAAAGTTAGGTATTGCGTTTTAAATTAATCGAAATTAATTTACTCAAAAAAATGTTTATATTTGAAAAAATTCAAAAAATAAATTCAAAATAAATTTAATATGAACTTAATGACATTTTTATAACTAAACTAACCATATAACCAATATCCCACTCCTCCACTCTTTACTATAAATAATATATTTATATATATTATAAGTAAGCCTTGTCGTACAAACGAGGATGCCAAGAGTTGCTTAGTACCTCCAAGTTATATTAGGGTTATTTGACTAAAAATATTGTTTAAAGTAAATCAGAGATGATGGTATTAAAAATTGTCTTTTTAATAAATATTTGCTGAAAAATCGTATGTGCATGATATAAATATAATTAAGTATATAATTAATTAACTAGTTATATTTATATCATGTATTGAGGAGATATGTGGATGTCACTATAGCATTATTGTGCATATGAAAATAACTGAATTGAGTGTTCACTCGAATTTTAAAATAGTAAAAAAAGTATCTGTAAAATTTACGAAAATTTACCTGACCCGTAAAATTATTACGGCCATTTACAATCCTTGATCTTCATACATGTAAAGCAATTGCCTATAGTATGAAACTATGAGCATAACCACGGAGCAGTGTTGTTTGAACGCATGGATAACCCCCGGGTATTTCACAGGCGTTAGCTGGGGTCATTGACTAGTTTTCGATGCGTGGACTATATAGTGCGTATAGCTACGCACGTGGCTTGCCTTACCCACACTCACATCTTCACTATCCTCTCGGCCCACCACTCTTACATAACTGACACGTGGAGTCGTCGTTGCACGCCGAGTGCGTTAATACTGCCTGTCGCATACATGACAAAATATTATTATAATTTATACCAGCGGTTCTTAACCTTTTGTAGATCGCGGACCCCTGATGAAAGATTTTTAGAAATCGCGGACCCCCCGCACCAATTTTTTTACAAAACGTCTCATATTATCATAACCAAAATTATAATAATTATTTTATATTAAAAATTACATTACTAGACAACCAACATACACATTTCCAATATTTTTATTACAATTAATTTTTTATAAAAATGTAATATAAAACTATAATTGAGTACGATACTACGATCGATCAACTGCAATATTATGGTGGTAGTAAATATAAGACTGCCGAGACTTCAGTGCTGTACGCATGTACATTTCGTATGAACAAGAAAAACTGATTACCTACTTAATAAATACTAGTAATACGACTATTTGGTGTAGAATCTACACATTATATATGAAAAAAATTATAATAATCCAATAATATTGTAATAATGCACTCAGCTGTCACTTATTGATGTATGTTATGTGTTGAGGCTGCCGCGGACCCCCGACATGAGTATCGCGGACCCCCGAGGACTATAAGAGTTTGTAGTATGCTGGTGTTATGCTAGGTACTGGCAAACCTCTCTTTCCCGCAACAATTTGACCTACAACTTTGTCTCATTTCAACACAAAGTGTATGACGTGCACGGCTCAGCAATTCAGCCAACTGTGTTTTTAATTTTTTACATTTTATCTCCCAAAGGAAGATCTGGCTGCTAGAATCAATACAATATGCAAGTATGTGCGAGTTGTTCGTACTAATAATATTATAGTTATTGATTGTTTGTAAACTCATTGACATTGTTCGTAGGTACATAATATGAGGCCCGTTTCTATATAGAAAATTTAATCTATGGCATTTGCAACTAGAGATGTCTAATTAACCGGTAAAAAAGTTTCGGTAAATTAGTAAATTTTGGAAAAAAATGTTTAGCGGTAATTTTTATTTAATTTTCGAAAAAAAACTTAAGTACCGAATTTCTTACCCTCTTCAACATTTTTATGGAGCTTTCAATTGTAGGATAAATATTTTTATTCCTTTTTACCTACTAACCTATCAAACCTATTCTACTTCTCCTATATGACTATTGACTATAATATTAGTCTATACCTAAAATTGTAAATGGCTCTTTGGAAAAAAAATACTATTACATATTTCATTCAGAACAAAAAACAATATGAAAAATAAATCTTGAAACTTGTATTAAACAATAAACATAACTTCAATATCAACATATACTTTTATGTTTTTGGTGTAATTGCATTTATCAAAACAAAACAAAAAGTTAATAGTTTATAATAAACAACAAAACAAATAATAAAATAAACAATACATCTTTTATAAAACAATAAAAATTAAATAAATAACATAACTGTTTGCTGAATACTGAATAATACAGCAATATGCCAATAGGTATAACATAATTAAGCGAGTGTATTTTGAATTGAACTAAAAAAATAAAACATTAAAACGTGGAAATATATAACTATTATAGTATTGAACACGATTATATGTGCATGTTTAATACAATGTAAGTGTACTAGGCAGTAAGTATTAACGTGGAAGTCACTATCACAGTCACACAGAACGAGTAACGACAGAACACAGAACACTTAAGGTGCGCACACACTGCTGCGGTAGACGGTACGGTAACGATACGGTAATCAATATTTTATTTGTGCGGTAATCTTTACCGTCGGAGCTTGCACACTGATCCGGTAACGATATGAGTTACAACTAGCACACACTGCTGCGGTAATGCGGTACGATATATCTGACACACATATAAGAAATTTTGAGGTTTATACCCTCTCAATTTATTTTCAAAAATATTTTTTTCCGACAGCTATGTAAAATTGTAAAATTAATATGAATATTTTTGTTATAAACCCTTCCCTTCCCACAAGACGATAATTTCTCTGTAAATGAGCCTATAATACAAGTCTTAATATATGTGTAGGTACCTAATGTCTTAATTTTCTTATTATTAATTGTAAAGAAACTCTATATCAAAAAATTATAATAAATTAATAATATACGTACTATACGTTAATCAAAATGCTTTTACTTAAAGCTAAATTAAAAAGTAATTATATAACTGAGTTAAGTTCATATTTTTTCAGGTGTTAACTTTAAACTTAAGAGTGAAGTATAATGTTTATTAAATCTTAAATTATATCTTTCTAAATGTTGACTTGATTTAACTTAACTAACTAAAGGTAATTTTTGCCCACATTTGCAGAATGGGAGTATAGGAGTATATTTGATAAAAAACTTATTATTAATATTAATTATTATGATATGCCTACTGGCTACTGTACTTTTGATACTTAATTTAATTATTAATAATATAATTATATTACCTTAAGGTAGTACGTATACATATAGCACTTAATGCCATAATGGTAATATAGTTGTACAACTAAACAGCTTCATATTATGTATGTCATAATTATTACAAAATAGATAAACATTATTGCTATTAATATTTATCGGCCCGGTAGACATGGGCGCCCATTGGGGGGGGGCAATACAGGGCACTTGCCCCCCCCCATGGAAAAAAATTTTATGAACTTGTAGCTCAATAAATATTACCACAATATTACCTTATTACCGAGGAAAATTATTTGTTGAAATCACTTTTAAGATATGAAATAAGTATAAAAATGTACTCATTGTTATCGTATATTAACATCATAGATAGCCAGATAGGTCGTAGTCTGTAGTTCATATGGGTACCTATACGTAAAATTATTTATCGCAGATAATTTGTGGTAAATCCATAAAAATCACAATATAGGTACTACAAATATTTTGTCAGACAAAATTAACTGCATTTTAGTCGTCCACTTTCTGTGTGACATTATATTTAGTGCTGACTGCTGAGTGCCATTAGTGATTATTATTTTTTTAAATTTTCAATTTTTACTATGGATATTCGATCGTTTTTAAGTAAAAAAAAATCTGATGAAGATAATGCATCTGCTGTGCTTGAGCCACACACATCGAGAAATACAAGTGTTTCTGCTCAAGTAAATTCAAACCCGGAATGTTCTACGTCAATAAATACGGTACCTACATTAACTATTAATTATACGCCAAATGATTGTGAGTCATATCCAGATTTAGGATTTTATATTAATAAATCAAATTTATCAGATGAACTTAAATATAAATTACTAACAAAACCAAATGTTCCTTCTGATAATTATGATTTTAAGAATGACCGTATTGCACAAAAAAGGAATTTTAAAATAGAATGGCTTAAACAATATCGCTGGTTAGTTTATTCTAGACATTTAAAAGGCGGCTTATGCAAACATTGTGTTGTTTTTCGTCTTGTCGTTAAAAGAGGATTATTAGGAACGTTCATTATTGTAAGTGAATTTACCAAGTATAAAGATTTTCATTTTCACTTAATATTTTTATATCACTGCCTCCGACAACGTGCACAATAGAAAGATCGTTCAGTACAAATTGTCATTGGTCAACTTCATTTGGGTGTAATTCTTTGTAATTGCAGCCACCCTAGTAGCCAGTACGTCAGATAGCGGATAGACAGCATAGTTTTAAGCTGACAATCCTCAGGTGGATTCCGGACACGGCCTAAGAGGCTATAAGTGCAACTAACCTTGGTAGGCAATGTGCGAAAATTTGATATTTGCTTGAATCTGATCTGCCCGATTAATCAATGGCAATCCATACACAAAAAAAATTCTGATATCTACTTTTACTATTATAATCTGCAATCAATAGCAACCATTTATAAACAAATAAAAGTTTCAATTTCACCGTCAGTCTCAATTCTCAAATTCATTTTCTGAACACCTCTAATTTACCTTTTTAATTTTTCTCAACAAATCTATTTACCAAATTTCATCAAAATCGGTTCAGTGATTTAGGCATGAAAGGGATAGTTATTATATTTTATTATATTATTTTTATAAGCTATCGAGGCAATACTGAGTTGTAGAACAGTGTGAATAGGTTCGTGGTAAATAATTACAATAGCATAAAATAAATCTAAGTGTTTCGAAAATGTTGTTAATTTTATAACATTTAATAATATAGAAAGTCCCCACTCATAATATTTTTGAATTACAATAAAATAACTAAATCGTTCTTCTTCATTTAAATATCGAATATCGTCCAACTTCAATTAATGTCTAAAAAAAAATTGTATATTTTTTAGTTTTTTAGTTTCAGAAAGAACTTTTTATGAGGAATATTGTCGTAAATTTTATTCTAGGGTATAGATATTGAAGATTTTATTAATTTTTAACTTGTTTTCACACTTTTGTGATTTTGACGAATTTTGTCTACATTTAAACTTCAAAAAGGTTCTTACAAAAACATCGTGCATAATATGTATTTTTAATATTTTTTAATATATATAATAACAACCTACAAGGAATCTAGAATTACATTTTCAAGCTTTTTCACTGAGCACGAAAATCAATATTTATGGAAAAAAACATTAAAAAATATGAAATGTCTATAAATAGCTCAATAAGATTCAAATAATACATTAAAAGTTGTAACATGTATAAAAAATGCTAATATAAATATTTGTTTTTTGTTTTTTTCCAATTCTTAAGTAAAGTACATTAATTATTTTTAACCGGAGGTAAACAGGGGGTATATTTATAGGGAAAACGGATTGCCTATTTTTTCCTAGAAAAAAAGTGTTAACAGGTAATAATATAATAATGAATTGGAAAAAAATATTGTAATTCCAAAGCATATAAAATGCTTAGTTTTTGATTTTGAGTGGAGCGATAAATGTATTGATTTTACAACGATATGTGTTTTTTTTTAATTTTTAATTAATTTTTTATTTTTGTGTCTGTCAAAACTTTTTAGGACAGTAAAAATGACTAGTTTTTCTTCAACGTATCTTTTCTGATAGGAAAGTGAATCTAGTTTGAACTTTAGGAAGTGTAAAGTAAAAAAATTCAAAGTAGTTTTCAAAAGCGACGAGAAAAACAAAAGAAAAATTAAGAAAAAACTGGAATTTGTACGAAAAATCTGTTTTACAACATTTGACATTCACTCGATTTCTCATGTAACGATTTTCTTATTTTTTTGTTATTAAAAAACGAATGACTGTAGATACTTGAAAATTTCACTGAATATTTATATTAGCATTTTCAATACACATAGAATTTTGAAAATAACTTTACTCTTTTTGAGCTGTTTACGGATATCGTCAGTTTTTAGTTTTTTTTTATTTTTTTTTCTATAGATATCAATAACATTTTATTTGATGGTTTAAAAAGCTTGAAAGTTTTTGCTTGCCAGGTTCCTGATTATTGTTATAATAGCAGTTGAAAAATATTAAAAATACATTTTCACAATTTTTTTTAAAAGTATTTAAAGTCGAATTTTGACAAAATTTATCAAATTTATAACGCAATAATTATTTTGTAGTTAAAAATGTAAAAATGTTCAACTTTTATAACTAAGGATTGAAAATTTAAAACAAGAGTTCACCTAAAGAGGTTATAAATAAATTACTTTATGCACAATAATATCATTAAATATACATAGTAATAAAATATGCTGACTGACCGTTTTCGCTCAGAATCGTTTTTCTTATACAATGATATAATGTCAATGAATTCAAATTTAACACCATCAATTACAGTAACCCACTTGTAAGTTGTAACCTACTGTAAAGCAGGCGACATCCACTTATCCACTTTTTTTTTATTAATTTTATACAACTTAGGTAGGTATACCTAAATCACTGCAGAGATTACAATTTTAATACGGGCACACAAATATTTTGATAATAATAATTATAATTATAACTCATAAGTCAAATCATCAAAAAACTTAATTTTGTTTAATATATGTATTGCTTAAGAGTATTATTGATAAATAAGAATATTTAAATCTATAAATTTGTAGTGTCGACGACGACTTAAGATAGTAATTAATTCAGTTCATTACATATAGATAGAAACATATTAGTAGAAACCTTTACATTGTTAGATTAGAAATTTAATACAAAATGTATTATGTTTGTATCTATAATGTGGCTATGTGAAGTTTTAGCGTTCTCCTTTAAAATTAAATGTTATGAAGCCATATCAAAAGTCGCATAATTATTTACCCCGTGCTTACAAACAATTTATGTCTCCCATAATAAACAGCCCAAAGCATTATATTTTGTGTTTTAAAGACAAATGATTTATTTGTTTCATTTCTGTTTAATATAGTTTTTGTTTTTAACCGTTTTTGTAACAAATGGTGTTTTATTTAAAACGGTTAATTTGTACGCGTAACTGTTCAAAAGTATTATTGATATTGACATCTTCTTATTTACATTAGTTAATTATTATTCAGATAAAAAGAGACCTCGAATTTTCTAAATAGTTTAAATTAAAAGTCGTATAACATAATAGCACTCTTTCTTTATTTATTGAAAATTAATTTAGTAAGTACCTAGGAACTTATATATAATATTATACTTTTATAATAATATTGTATAAATAAATCAGATTGTTAGTTATTTTAGAAATAACTTACTGATTTAACAAACGAGCAGCCACATGATTGCAATTTTGGACACATATTTTAGATTCTGATTGGAGCGAGGAAGCTAGCTAGTGGGTTTCCAATGATATTTATTTTTTTTTCATCCTGTAAACAATTAATGTTCTACCTAATGGAGTGCTATGATTTCAACATATTATAGTATCTTATCTTTTAACAAATTGGAGCAAGATTGTACATTAGAATAGTCATTTTTAAATTGTCTCAATAGTTTTATAACGGCATGGGGAAACCACCAAATTTTATTTTTCTAACCGAATCCAAATTATTTTTATTATAATTTACATATATTTGCAACCAATACTTATAGCTTCAACTTTGAATGTACATTCATGAAACAACTTTTAGACAATAACTATTTCCTCAATTTATTCTAAAAATAAAATGTTTGTATTGTTTATTATTTTTAATTTGTGATAAACTAATTTTTTTTAGTAGGTTCTTATTTTAGGTACCTACTACGACATTATTACTACGATACTACGATATTATAAGTATTAAGTATACATAAAAATGTATACCTGATTTACGATCTAGTCTTAATATACCTACGGTCTTGAAAATAATTAACATTTGAAAAGTATTTTTATGTATGTATAATTTCTTATAAATCCTTTCGTATTTTTGAAATGAAGGCCTTTTTCATTATTTGACAAAATAATGGTTTTATGGTACTAACTATGAAACCTACAGGGCAACTCAATCATACGAGCATAATATTATATTGATATTATAGATACAATAGAAATTAGAAAAAAGATTTGATTCAGTTTGATAATATTAGGGGGCATACACCTATGTACTTCGGTAAACAACAAAAAAAAGAAAATTACTCTGATTTTTAAGGTTTTCTTTGAAACACATATAACTCGATACAATTATACAGTTATATTATACCATCGTGTAATATGCACATTCTTGTATCAAATCTCAATTTGTGCTAAGTTAAAATAATTAATGGTCATTTTTTTTTAAACTTATTCCTAGATATTCTATTCATCAACCAAGTAAATTTTAATAGAGTAGAGTGTTGAATTTTCCTTGGAAAATCAGAGAACGTTTGGAAACACATCAAACGATTATATGAATGTACTTATAGATTTATTTATTCATTCAATCACTCAGTATCTTAGTTTATTTCGTTTTTCTAAGCAAAACAGTACGAATCATGAATGTGCATTTTACCAAAGTTTTTGAAAAAAGTGTACTTAAACGTATTCGTATCCAAACGCAGTATCATTATAAAAATATGATGTAAGTAAACAAACATTATGTTCATTTATTCAATTTATGTAAAAAAAAACAAAATTATGAGGAAAAATTATCGTATTCCATAATTTTTATTTGGGTATTCCTGGTGCTTTTGTAAATATTGGGAGTATTTTTACTTCTGACCCTTCAAAGTACCAACTAGATTCATTTTCCTTTTAGAAAAAATGCTGTTGAAAAATATCTAAGCATTTTCCCTATCCTAAAAGGTTATATAAATATAACTAAAAAATAAAATGGAAAAACACACATCATTGTGAAAAGAATGTACAAATTTTGAAACTGTGAAGACAAATTTGTAAAAATTCTATAACAATTACTCACAATGTTTTGACTTGAATTTTAAACATGGTTGTGACAGAGTCTTCCAATTACTGACAGATAGTAGTTACTTCTGCGAAAGGTGAGGAGTATTATTGGTGTTACAAAATTGATACTCAAGAAATAATTATTATATTTGAATTTTAGATTTTATAAATACTTTGTTTTGTACTCAACATAATAAGCTCTATTTAAAGTTTAAAAAGTAATACAACAATAAATACTGGCTTAAAAATCTGTTTAAGTCAATATATTTTAAACAGAAAAGCATAGTAACCAAATATTTGTATAAAAAACAAATACGCAT